CAGCAGCAGCAACAACGACACTAAAATCATTCTTTCTGCTGTAGGACGCTCAAACAAACCTCAGACCAAAAGTTTAAAAGAATACTCATTAACCAAGTGCTCCAATACACACAAGTAACAGATCTGTGCTAAGCGACCACTAGGGACTTTACACAAGTTCAAAGAAACTTGCAATACGCATCTTTAAAATATATCACCCCCACCACGTTTCTCCGGGTTTATTTTACAGTGGGACGGCTCAGACTATCTCTACGATTTTTTTTTAGCTACGCTAAGGTTATTTTTTTAAAACCTCTGCCTGGTCAAGCCGGCGGGGCAGTTAACCTGAAAGATGGGCGGAAAGTAACATTTTCGGCGCACGAAACGTTTTTTTCCCCGGCTCTTTTGCCCGGTGGGTTTCATTCCCTCAAGTACCAACACTTTCTGCCTTGGTCCCACCGGGCTCCAACTTTTTCTATCTCGCCAAACCCTGCAAGGTGGCGCTCTTTTCATTGAAAACTGATATTAGCCTTATAATAATAACATTTTGTAGAAAGTAAAGTTAAAGCGAAGCCTTCCCACGGGTGCTGCAGGGAGCAGAAGGCGATGCCGAGCTGGCGGGAGTGGGGCTTCATCTGAGCAAGTTTTTATGTTTTTTTTTTTTTTTTTTTTTTTTTTTTTTCGGGGGGAAGGGGGAGGGGGGGATATATGCTTTGGGGAGGTGAAAAATCTCCGAGGGAGATCCCCAAATGTTACGGACAAAGAAAAATACTTGCGGGGTTTTGTTGTGAGATAGGCGGGCTGCGCTCTGGATGGGTTACAGCCAGAGCCACGCAGCGCCCGCATGGATATGAGGTGGCGCCTCCCCCCGGCCCCCCCCCCCCCCCCCGAGCGGTTAATATGGCTATTGACTCGCTGTACACATAATATTTCTTTAAAGAAGCTGTTAAAGTGTCATCTTGGTCTACTGGAAGGTCAGTTTGTGCAATTCACTCTATGACATATCACAAGCCCTCGCAGCTTTAGCCAACCTCATGATTTGTGTTGTCTGTTGATATGTTGTCTGCTTAATGGGGCGATCATGCAAGCTACAACCAGGAACAAAGCCCAACAGTTCCAACAACCGTAGCTAAGTTAGTGGAAGCAGTACAGCTTGCAAATCTATCAAACTAAACTGCAAGGAAGACAATCTGATTTAGAGAAAAGGCGTTCTGCTACAGTCATTAAGCACAAGTAATTTAGATTTTTTATATTGTCTTCTCATTTACAAATTTACTGTATCAACGCCAGCCAATGGAACGAATTTCTTAAGTAAATGAGAAATAAATAAAAGAGATAGAAAGATAATCAAATTACATAAAATAATTCTTATCCCCTAGATCTATTTTTTTAGAAAGCTATTAACACTGGCAAAATTATAGTAATAATAATAACATAACATAAGAAGTAATTGATTTAAATTAACGTCACATTTTAAGGAATATCAGGAGAAAGAAAAAAAAAAGGAAGGAATGGGGGGAAAAAATAAAAAGAAAAAAAAAAAACAAACCAAACCAAAAAATATACCCAACAACAACAACAACAACAACGGCCTTCGTGAAACAGTGCAGTACTTCTTGGAGTAAAAGGCCCAAGGAAAGTCATGAATCCACTGCCTGAGAATCAGTTATGGTCATAAATGCCTTAAATTAAAATAGCAACCGAAATCTCCTCTGTTTTAAATCTCCTAATATATGTTATCCGAATTAATTTAATTTAGGGACCCAGTCTATGCAGATTCATGGGCAGTGTTGGAGTGGAGTGCAGCACTTCTCGTGTAACAATTCCCCACATTAATATTTATGTAGCCTATGCAATCTATTTCTGTTATTTTTATGGTTGTTATTCTATGTCTGCAAAGGTCATTTAAATTATACTGCGGCCGAAAATTTGTTTCATAAATTTTGATATAAATACTAATTACACACTATAGTAATGCCAGCAGGGATCCTTTCATTTATCACATTTATATCACCTTCGCTGCTTTAGTGATGACATAATGGAAAGCAGTGAAAAACTGGGACAGTTTTATTCTAATATCCTAAAGCTAGTTGGAGTTGCAGCAGGTTGACTTAGCGAATAAGAATTCCTACCACAATTCATGGGATTTAAGAATCTTTAATAAGGTACGAAATGTTACCAAACAGTTCTGTAAACTAAATTTTACATACCAATTCTTCTAGCCATAAATATTGAATATCTTGTAACATGTATAACCGGACCTTTACATGCGGATAAATATGGAAATTAGGATTTATATACATTATGTTCTTGTATTTGCCAAAAGCAACGGACAGATATAGTTTATATCTTTTTTTTTTCTTTTTTAATATCACTTTACATAAACAAATGTAACAGTTTGACACGCAGATCCAGGCTTTCACTATACGAATTTCTTGACAGGACGTGTAACAACATTTTACTGCACTACTTAGACTGGACTTTGGGACGAAATGTTGCACTTTATACAAAAAAGCACATTAATACCAATAATATTCTGTTAGATCGACGTTTAGACTGTAATAATACAAAGTAATTCACATTTTGGTACACATTTACTAGAACATTCTTGCCATTCAGTACAAATAGTTGAATTTCTACCTCTTCCCTCTGCCCCCCCACCACCGCCGCCC